TTCATGAAAACACCGAAATCCGGGAGAAAATGATGTAATGTTTGCAACAATAAAACATTGAATTTGCTCAAACAATTGTTGCAAGTTTTGGAAGTGACGAAAAAGCGTTTTTCTGTGTTATTATTGAGTTTCTCTTTTTTACCTTTTGCTGTTGAACTTGATTGATATTATTTTTGCTCTGAACAACGTTTCGTCGTTCTAATTCGTTTCATTGAAATGAAAATTTTCCCAGCACGTTTCCAAAGAAATGCATTCTCATCAATGTTTTGAAATATTTTGGAAAATTTCACCATTCTTCGAACACCTCAACAAGGAGGTGCTCTTGGGAAAACTTTTTTTGTTGATGGTTGGAGAAATTTGGTCGTCTTTTTTCCTTGACCGTAATTATACCAATTTTTTGACAATTGTCCACGAAAAAGACATGGTCCAATCGAGTCCCTTATATTCTATTTTAATTTAATTTTCAAGTTTAATTTGAATAAGATGCAGCTGCTCACGTTTATAATTCCATATTTCAGTTCGATTATTATGCTGTACTGTTATGAATTCTTGAGCTACAAATAATTCCACGTATCAAATTAAATGTATCCGAACAACGAATGTTCGTTGCTAAGAAAGGCTTGAATTTCAAAAAATAAATGTAAATACAGAATTGTGATCTTCATTCAATAAAACATGCAGAATTACACTCCTGTGTCTAAAATTTTCTCCCCCATTCGAACAAATAAAAAGATATATACAATTATATTCACCGTTGAAAGGATCCAGTTATTTGAAATGGATGCCAATTCATGAGAAATCATTTCCATCCACAGATAAATAGGAAAATCAATTTAGTTCATCCATGATTTGTCATCTTCATGCTGCTAGTTTTGTTTCGCCAAGGTTACTTATTTTGTTGTAAGTAATCCATGATCAGCGACGGAGTTATGCGTGTGACATCTACCCGACATTCCATAAAACCACTCCGGCTGCTGACGGGGAATGAACGAGAAAGAATTTCCCCATAACGAATTCTGTGCACGTGATTTATTTCCAGCCTGATTTCAGGTAAACTTGATTCCAATCCACGGAACAACAACAACAACAACAACAAATGTTTCATGTGCACCCTTTACTAATTATATACATATTTTCTTGCGTATTATTGAACCGAAAACAAAAGTTCCTTAAATTCAGAAACGTGCTCCTTGCATCATTCACGAAGAGAGGCGACATCTGATGTGAAAAATGACTACTTGCTCAGACTTGAGAGGAAGGCCTTCGACGTGTCGTTCACTGCTGTGATATCCCGATTTCAAATTTAAATACAGTCGATGTTCTGGGGGGGGGGGGGGAGTTGAAAGTCGGAAGCGGAAAGTGTGATGCGTTTGAATGTGTTACTGAATATACATTTCCGGACTTTTTGACTTCCCTTTTATTCTTTTCTTCTTCTTTTTGTTTCGGGGCCTCTTTGCCTTGAACTTGGGAACAATATACTGTATAAGACCCAACCGCGATCTGAAAAGTTTCGTACTGTTCCTGGAAGTCTCTTATACATCCGTTGGTCCCATAATCGGTTTATTGTCACGCTTGACCGTTGCTGGAAAAGAATGTCATGCATGTATTTCAAAATTCTTGACTTATTTATTCGTCAGATATGGATTTCATTTTCCCCCTTTCTATAGATCCACAGTCGAGGTTACTGCAACTGGTTGGGATGAGGTAGAACTTATTTGCGACACTCGGAAAAAAATAAACAGAAGAAGGGTGCATGTGGAATTAAATGAACCGAGTCTATATGCCAAAACATGGCTTCAAAACGTAAGTTTCATATATTGTAATTCTCGAATCATTTTCTCCTAGATTTCCTTCTCGGTTTTGAAATTTTAAACTTGTTTCACGGACATTCGAAGAAGATAAACGCCGTTTTTTTTATAAACGTTTCGGGTCAGGCCAGTTTTTGATGAATTAGCGGACGACGACTGTATTTTGAAGAGTAGAGTAAACCAATTCAACATTTTAACAGAAAGCCAGGTGCCAGTCTCAAACAAAATTTATATTACAGTGAGACCCCCAGATGCGGACACATCGACATATGGACAATTCAACATAGGGACACTTGTTTTCCAAAAAAAAAGTAATAAAAAAGGCCCAACATCAGGACACTGACTCAACATAGGGACATTCTGTGATAAAATTGCAAATACATTTCAGTTCAAATTACAAGAAACAGATATTTCAAACCCTTGAATTATGTAAGAAAAGTTCTTGGACATTTTTCTCACCAATTTACCATCCATTTAGCTAATTTAAAAAATTACCTCCAGCATAGAGGAACTTCCTTCTCTCTTTTTCACTTGAATGTTATTTTTACAGAAAATGCCAAAATTTCTATGTACTGCTACAGAGGTATCAGTATTCAATTCCCCAAATTTCCAGATTGTGTTGAAATATATTGATTGAATCAGTTTCAATTGGGAGACAAATTTTATTTTATTGGAATTATGGTATTTTAGTTTTTTGTTCGTAAAACACCAATTAAAATTGGTATAGTGTAAGTCTAAGGAAAAATGAGACTTGACTTGAAGATATTCTAACTTAGGGACACTCGTGATGCACCAATTATGTCCACATCTTGGGGTCTCAATGTATTCTGTCAATGCTTGACTATTTTTTTTAAATGAATTTAGGATTTTTAAACTTTATTGGATGGACAACAGTAAATTTATTTTTTCAAACACAAGAGGAATTCAGTTGATGATTGGAAACTTGATCAGACTAAACAGAACAATTTGTCTTGCCCTGATTTAATTCTTGTTTTCAAAGTGCTAAAATACAAGTATGAAGATGTTACAGTATAAATAATGTAAATTCTTGATCAACTTATTTCTGGGCTTCAATGTAAGTTATGCGATGATGATGTCAGAAAAAGGAAGCAGTCACAGCAAAGGAATGGTGCAACAAAAGCTACGAGCTGACATCCCGAATTTTTTTTTCTTTCAAATACCGTATCATCGGCTTCAATAACAAAATGCAAAAGAACTTGAGAAATCTGAAGCGAATTTTGATCAAGGAAAATGTACGAAATTGATTTTCAGAATTAAAGCGAAGTTCTTTTCTGGATTTAACTCGAGTTCAGGGTTCAGAGCATCATCTCTTATTTTGTGAAATTCTTGCGTTCTTCAACTGCAAGCTTAACAATGGCGACCTTTATATAAAATCTGTTTTCGTCATTCTATGACTTGCGCAAAAGATGACCATCTATTTTTATTTTTTGCAGTTGAAACTTTGCGTGTTCTTTACTAGTCATACCTGCCTCAGTTGATTGCAATTTTTCGTCTGGTTTGAGCACATCATTTTACACATTTCAAGCAGTGTTGGATTCAGATTTTGAAATTATGAAACTTCAGATTCGTCCAATGGTGCCAATGCAGATGCTTGCTAAAAAAAAGTGATTTTTTATATTGGAATTTGGAGGGAATATTTATCTTTAAATTGACATTCCAAAGTGGAAATTAATTTTCTGAAGACCATTTTCTTTTCATTTCCTTTGTAAATGATACAGTATAATGATTTTAGTATTCAAAAATTCTTCGAATGCAGTCTTCACATGCCTTTATGAAAAGTGTACAAGAATATAGAGGATGGATTCTGCCTCAGAGTTTTTTTCAATTCTTTCTTAACCCTTGGATACAGCAAAGTCGGACTATTTTTGCAAAATTTTGTTACACCTCAGGGCAGAAAATAAAAAACGGGTGGCAGGGACTTGAGGACAAAGTTGGGGAAAAATCCAATGCTTTTTTCTTTCTTCACAGAAAAATTTCACGAGAAAATGAAAAAAATCCTATGCTAAGCAATGGGCTTTTCTTGGATTAATTCTGACTTTGCCTCAGCCCACCTGGAAGGTCTTTTCTGACCTTCAGAAAAATTAAAACACCACAGCATACGAAAATAATCCGATTTTGGCCGGCAATGGGAAAGAACCCTCCGCCTTCCAAGGGTTAAAAAAAGTCAAAACCAGTCCTGGGAATTCAAGAAATAAAAAAGGTTTTAGAAAAAACACCAGCCCATTGTTAACAGGTTCATAAATATTGTTCATGTTAGTTGAAGAGGAATTTATGGAGAAAAGTATTTTAGTCTAGAGCAAATATGATCAAATAACCTCTCATCAAAATGAGAGAAAATCTGCACATCAGAAAGATGATGAAAAAAAATATCTCAAAGATTCATCACCTCAAATAATTTATGCATGATGTAACACTTTCTCAAGCTTATGTGCTCATGATACTCATATATATATAACAGGTCACAGGTGTCAAATGACCAAATTCCCTGGTCTTCATTATGGTACAGGAAAGTATGCCCAGTTCAAACCCAACTGGGAACTCAGGAAGTGGCATGAATGTCGCTTTGCTTTGCAAATGGTGTGCAGATGAACCCTATACTGCTTGGCATATAGAGGACAGGGAAAAACCCCATGGGTTCTCGGGAAATACATTTAGTGGCTTCAATGCAACACATATACTCTAGTTTCTTTCTTCTCTTTTTGTTTCACTGCTGAACTGACCGGGGAAACCCCCGACGTGTCCAAAATTTCATGCGCAGCTTTTCAAATCTTTTTATTCACGCACTCGTGGATGGGAAGCCCGAGAAAAGTCGAATACATTTGTGGACCACGAAGCAACGACGTTCTCATTCCAAAAGAAACGTGTATAAAAACATCGGACGAGACTCGGATCCTCTCAACAAACAATCCATCCTCCTCAAAATCCACACACACATTGCTGAGCCTAAAAAGAAAAAAAAATTGAAAAAATTATCTATTTTTATTCATTTCCCAGCAACGAAGAAAAACGATCGAGTGGAACTCGTCGGAGTTCATGGAGTGAAAACGTTCTAAAATTATTTCCCCTATATTCCAGCGCGAGTGACTGAATTGAAGATGGAAATGAACGTGTTTTTCGGGTTATTCGTCATCATATATATGGCACACACAAACAAACTTCTGTCTGCTTCCCAGGTTCTCTTTTCTTTTATTCTCATTTAAAATCATCGGAGATATACCCGTACTTTTCTTTCTTCGGAAAACGAAAATTTCGTTTTCGACGTCTGAAAGATTTTGAATAAGACGATCAAGTGCGCCATGATTTGGTCTTCTCCGCATCACGTGTATTCGAGTAAAGAGGTATGATACCTACAATCAATCGTTTGTGGAATTTTTGTTGTTGCAAAAAATTGAAAAAGAGGAAGTGTGACGTGGTTTATTTGGTGGAATTTCAGCTGAATAAAAGGACGAAGAACAAGAAATGGGTGGTTTACATCATCATTCCTTGCGTGATCGTCGCTCTGCTGTTCGCTCTCGTGCTCACCTTGGCATTCGTGAGTAGATTTAGTTTGTGATTTTGTGAAATTTTTTTCTTGCACTAAAAAAGTTTACAATCACTGGCAAGATGTTTTATTTTATTATAATGAAAATAAAAAAATAAAAAAAATTTTTATTTTACATTTTTTTGGAGCATGATTTGCAAAAAAATCCATTGGATTAGCTATTACGTTAAATATAATAGCTGAGAGATGATGAAGAATAACGGACATATTTGACTAACGGAAATTGATTTAAAACCAAATACCAACTCCTGGGACTAAATGTACTGAGCACAAAAAAATTTCATGATTTTAAAATTGAAAAATTGAATTTATTGATTATCGCTAAGAAGACTTTTTGGGCAAGAATAAACGTTCTTTCTAACAAAATGTACCATTTGGCGACAATATAGAATGTTTAAGGACATTCAAGAAAGTTACTCAAGCTTAATTGTGTCCTAAGTTTGTCAACTTGACACAGCATTTCAATCAGCTCTGATGGTAATTTTTTAAACTGAGCTTCACTTACAAAATATATTTAATGTTTTCCTTATTTTTTATACCAGCTGGCTTCCATTTTTTTCTCATTTTTCAATGTTACAAAGGAAATTGTTCGATTGGAGTTATATTCACTTCGTTTTTAGCACGAGCTCCTTTTTTAATCAAATTACTTTGGTTAATTCCGCCTATTACTAAGTTGCGTATTCAAGAAAATTTACATACGTATATTCCAAATGCAACGGTTTTGGCGCCGAGAATTAGAAAAAGGCTGCTCACATTTGCAGCGAATCTTTAATTTGTGTAATCCACGATTTCAAACTCGTTTATAAGAGTATTTTGATGATCAGTTTACATTAGTATGCAGTATTTAAAGTAATTATACAGTAATTATTGGGACCAGTAAAATAGCGTTATTGAAATTAAAACTTTCGCTGTAAAGTAACTCAATTTGCATTCTGGCTAGCAGAACGGGCCTAAAGATGACTTTTTGCAAGCAATTATTTGTTATAATGAATTTTTTGCAATACAGTATACAGTAATAAGATTATATACCGTATTTAATAAATGTTATGAGCATATAATATAGCATCATTCATGTTTATTTCCTTAGTGCTTCTGACCAAATTTCTGTTAAACCTCACCTATTACTTTCGAAATCCAAAGTTGTATTTTGCATATTGTGATTTTACAGAACATGTGCTGTATACTTTATTTTTTATAGGGTAGCTCAAACGTTATTCCTGGCTTGAAAATTTGGTGGCATTACAACCACTAACAACTTTTCTCTGTTCACCCTGAGAGTTATTCACAAATATTTTGATTTATCCACAGGAAAACATCCGATGCAGGTCGCAAGACCCTTTGGTTATCCTCAAGCAGACCAATGCTGAAGACACATTGCTGGATGCCCCCACCATTTATACTCACTCATCAACTCTTCTGTCACCGAACCCGTCACTAGAGGATGCTCAAAGCAGCGACATCACTGACCCCAGACGCAGGAGCTGCAACTTTGATACTTGCGTAAACTACGACAGGTGTCGCGTCAAGTCCGGATTTCCCGTTTCGGTCAGAACGTACGGTACTCAAGACCAACGTGTTTTTCGAGTCGTTCAAGCGATTCGAAAAAGTGCTCACAGCAGACTCGATTCTCCGCCATGTTTCGAGTTTGTGGTGGCGAATGACGGGATTATGTCTGCAGTTCAGAAAAGACTCACAACAAGACCAGTGAGAAGCATTGATGGATCCGAAACATATCAGAATGAAGCTTACATTCGAGTTTCATCCCGGACATCATCCATCCTCGAAATCTCGAGTATCGGAGATCACCGGAAACGACTCCAAGAAATTCCTTTTCACGCAGTTGTCATCGATTCCGTGGCGAGTTTCACTGATTTCAGACCAAAGTTCGACCTCGTAGTTCCTCCACTTCCTGTGAAAGAAAACGCGGAGGTATTTCCGACCCCGTTTTTGCCGGCGAAGCGGAAATTGTTCCTGAGTTTCCAGGGAAGCAGTTCCGGAAAAAACATGCCAACTAACGCTATCTNCGTCTGACTTGGCGGAACTGCGGAACGCGAATGCTAATATCCAGATGTCGCTCGAATGCACAGAGAATGAAGAAACTGATTTCCCGGTCTTTGACGGAGACTGGAGATTGTGCCAAAATAGGCAATCAACTCTTCAGGACTCAACCTTTTGTCTGACACTTGCTCCGACAGGAGACTTTGCATCAACGCCAAGTTTCCAGACCAGATTTGCTGAATGTTTGCGATTTGGTGCTGTACCAGTGGTGGTTGGCCAAGCCAGGTTGCCGTTTGATGAAACCATTGACTGGACAGCTGCAGCAGTTTTTATACCCTTGCCAAGACTGGGTGAGGCTCTGGACATCTTGAATGAGATCAGTGATGAGGACATTGTTGGGATGAGGAGGCAAGGATATTATTTATGGAAGAGTTACTTGAGTTCTGATGAGAGGATCATGGATGCAGTGGTCTCCACACTAAGGGGTCGCATGGGTGTCCTTGGTATGGCCAGGGAAGTTGCTCACTCAAAGGATGGGGTGTTCAACTCCAGCAGCATGTCTGTGAGTAATGACAATTCTAAATTCAGTTTCTCTTGAAATTTCATGTAGAAAATGTACTGTACCGTACATGTATAGTACTTACAATGTAACCTCCTGAAATTATACTCATGCAATTACACTGTTGAATTTGCTGGGAGGTTCACTTACAATTCAACCCTTGTTCCTCAATTTGACTTTATTTGGCCACTTTTTAGGAATTTTTAATTGATATTTTTGAATTGCATGACATGTCTTGCAATTTGACTGTAGCTTAGTGGAGTAGGTTGAATTGCAAGGTACCACCTGTATGTTAAAAATCAAGCAGCAGCAGTGCTGATACGAATTTGAGTCACCATTGAAGCAGGATTTCAGCATTTGGTGGAGAGATCTCAGGCATAAGAACTCATGAAACCCCTTTTGAACTATTTCTTTTCTAAATTAAGAATACAAAGTCACCAGTCTGTGTCAGTGTCAGTCAATGTGTCAAATTAACAGCATGCATTGGAACAAAATGTCTGCAGTTTGATAACAATTTACAATTCTGAAAGAAAGACTCCAATTACAGTACACAGCACAGTACAGTTTTACTTTTTTAGCTTTTGCAGGTATCAGTTGTAAATCTCTTGCAAATTGAATTTTATTGACTCTTTTCATATTTATACCTTCTTGATAAATAAAAATATCTTTCATAATTGTATCTAATTGGTCTAACTAATTTTTCTTCACCACTTACAGCCTTTTGTGGACATACAGAGAGTGACTCAAGCCTATTCATCCATCAGCCCTGATGACTTGGTGCCCAAAGACAATCCCAATGACATGGTGGGAAAGAATTGGTACCAAGCCTGGAACAAATGGTTTGATCCTCATTATAGCTACTCTTCAAGGCCAAGTACTTCAGAACTTGGTAAGGGATTCCATTCAAAGTTAGATGCATTCAAATTTACTGTTTCATTTATTTTCTGTGTGTATGGATTACAGAATTCAAATGGAACATGTTTCCTGAAGCAAGGGAAACTGGTGGCAAACCAATTTCATCTGAACGGGAAGACCTTTCCACTTATGGTGAAGCAGCTTTCCCTGGGACAGAGGAGTTCACAATTATTTTCTTGACCTATCACAGAGACGAGGTGAACTTCCATATTGTGCAAAAAATTGATTTCAGGAATTTTACAAATATTTATTACAATTACAGGCATTGGTAGGAATACTCAGAAGTTTTGCTGGCTTGAAACTGGTGAACAAAATTATTGTGGTGTGGAATGATGAAAGGTCTTTGCCTGCAGCTGACTTCTGGCCTGATATTGGGATTAACCTGGAGGCAAGTATTTTGAGTCATTTGTCTTACAGTTCAATTTTAAACTGACAAAACATTTTAAATTTCAGGTTGTGAAAGCAACAAAGAACAGTCTGAATAACCGTTTCATTCCATTCACCACTATTGAAACAGAAGCAGTTCTGACTGTGGATGAGGATGTTCAAATCAATCATGAGGATATTTTGTTTGGCTTCAGGTAAGACTCTTTTATTGGTTTTGTAGTCCCCTCATTCTAGCAACAAAAAAACCGGTAAAATTGAAATTTTTCACAAAAAATGTTATTGGCAAAATTCTTTTGCATAGTTTCAAAGAATGACATTCTAAGGACAAAATGGGTTAATATAAAAAATTTGAACTACTTATTTTATAAAACAAGGAATTTGAAAGGGAAAAGAAAGTTCCAACTGTTGCTTGCTCTTGACACTGCAGTTTCTTAGTTTATAAAACTTGAGAGCTTGAATGCCAGGATTACTTCAATTTTATGCTAATAACTTTCTGGAATGCAGGTGTACTCAAGCTATTCCAAAAATTATTGTGAATACTTGGAATGCATTGAGTATCTTTCAGTTATAACTTGAGGAAAACAGTTTTGTTTCAAAATTATTTCATGAATCCTCAGGTAACTACACAGTGGACTCCCTTTGCAAAAAATTCAAAGGACCAGAAAAAAATCCATTGTACAGAAAATTTGGTTGTAGAGAGCCTCCATAACATGGGAAGATGGCCTCATGGGACCACAAAATTTTTTATATAGAGAATATTGTTGTAGACAAGATCATTGTAAAGAGAGTCCACCTGTAATTCTGGAATACATTATTCTCATTATGGGACCAACAATTTATGAGCACATTGCCTAATTATTTGATTCTTTTTTGGTTTTCCCAGGGTTTGGCAAGAAGCAAAGGAGAGGATGGTGGGCTTTGTACCCAGACAGCACAGTTGGGGTGCAGGCAAGGACAAATGGGTCTACAGATTCAAGGACCTGAATAAGGACTTTTACAGTGCAGCATTTTCATTGGCACTCACAGGAGGGGTCTTTGTCCACAAGTATTACTTGTACTTGTATGCCTACAACATGTCACCAGAAATTCTCAATAAGAATGATGATATCATCAACTGTGAGGACATTGCAATGAATTACCTTGTGAGCCACTTGACCAGGCTTCCTCCAATTTGGGTAAGATTCTTTCATATGCCCACTGATACTCTTTCTTCATTTCCTATTTATTTTATTTTACAATAATTGACATCCTGACAACTGAAAAAATAGCAATTTTGATCAAACAGTTTTATCTTGTACTTGATCTTTCAGTGGAGAGGCAAGAATCACTTTCTATTACAACTTTTGTCAGTTTCATGGTACAGGTGGTACCTTATTGAAATTTGACATCCCGAAATTTGACCATCCCATAATTCAACATTCAAATTTCCTGGGATGTTGACTTGCAATTTGACCTCTTGCCCCACAATTTGACCTGCAAAGAGACTCAAAATGTTAAATTCGATGTAGGAAACATGGAATGCAGCATTGTCTCACAATTGGACCACTTTGCAATTTGATGTGCTAAATTTATATGCAAAAATTTATATGAGGTTTTGGAGAACTTCTCACTTTTTTTCAGATTGACTCAAAAACCTTCAGACGAAATCAGTTCAAACTTTTTCATATGATTCAGCTAGCATACAAAAATATCTTCATTGCTTTCCATAACTTTTTCCTACGACGACCTTCACCAGTCTGATTTCTCCACGAGAATTTATGCACGGTTCGCTGAACTCCCTAATTTTGCTTCCCATAATTTGCAGATTGACTCAAATACCACATTTGCGTGCAGTGGTTGCAAGGAAGACGGTTTGTCACAAATGAGCAACCACTATCAAGAACGAGAACTTTGCGTCAATTACTTTGCCAAAATTTACGGATACATGCCTCTGATGTACAGCTACTTCAGAGCCTCGAAAGCCCGGGACGGTGCAAAATGATTGAGCCAACGTCCGCCAAAATTTTGACAAAACCCCAAATACGAACCCTGTTCTTGGAAGTAAAAAAAAAAAAACTATCCCCGGAGAAAACTTCGCTGCTTTGAAAGCTAATGCACCGAATAAATTCGTGTGCGATGGATTAAATATCGTGTTGGACCAGGACTTCTTATCATGCAAAAAAGGGGGAAAAGTCCACAAGGGAATGCCAAAAGTGTCGACAGGTGTCAATTCCTGACACGCAAGTTTTCTTTCTGGGTCAAGAATGGGGTTCGTTTTTATCATGGCTGTGAAAGTATGTGGACGATGAAGAAATTCGATCGGAATTAAAATGGTGAAGTTCTCGGAAGTGTAAATGCGGAAATTTGCGGGGAAAACTGTGGAACTTCTGCATGGAAATGAAATAAAATATGAAATAGTTCTCGAAAACTCTTGATTTATTTTCATTTTTTCGCATGAAGGTGACATTTTTTGAGACTTGAAGATGGGGCAAGAATGGTTGCGATAATTTTTCAACGAATACAGTATCTAGTCTGAATCTTTTCAGAGCATATCCTTTTTTTTTAAATCAAGTTGATGCCAAAAACGAGTCAGGAAATCTCTCTCTCGTCAGTCTGAAATCTCAGCAGGAATATTAATTGTTTAAACCATGTGATGATCAATTTCGTTATCTATAAAAATTAAATTTCCGTAGAACACATTTTTGCGAGCAAGCGACGATGCACCGATTTTTTTTTCTTATTCAGTTGTGAGGTCAAAAATAATTTTGAATCTTGAATAAAACCAGGGAATAATTCCAGGAGCGTTTTCCAGGAACTGTGTGTCAAGACTCTTTGAAGGCATTAAGGGGATATTTATAACACGCAACAGCGACCTTTATTATGTGGACTTCCGGCCATTGAATTCATGAATTACGAATGAAACTCCGAGAACCGGAACAATGGATTCGACTTTAGCCCTTCATCATTTGCTCTATTTACTTCCAAGGCCATTTCTCGCACTTTTTCGGCCGTTCAGATTTTCAAGTTCAATATCTCTATTTATTCCGAAAAATCCCCTATTGATTTGGCGTTTAAAAATTTCCAGCATTGATTGAATTAAAAAAAAAAAACCTGTCTCTCATCAGATACGAAATAGAATTTTCACTCAAAAACTTGTTACACAGAGTTCCTACGTCATAAACCTCCCTCGAACAGCATCGTCTTGCCTATTCAAAAGCATTCGCAATACCGACAGAACTGATGCGTTAATGAATGGATATTGTACTTGAAAAAAGAGAAGGAAATGAAAACAAAAACAAAACTGTGGCAGATGACACTTGAATGAATCACGTTTTCTGTGCCAGAGTCGTGGGTTGAATGATTCATCTTAAGCTTCTGAGGAAAAAGGAAGAAACAAAAACGTTTTCTGACGCGTAGATCTCCGCGGTTTCTTCTTTTTTTTTTTTCTGGGGAAACGGTTTCCGAATATACTTCATTTTGTGGGACGTCGTTTAAAATTCTCTCCATTGCCTGATAGGAAAAGGATGTGCAAAGCAGAAGTGTTTTGTGGCAATATCAATTTCGAAGATGAATAAAAGCAGTGGGGCCCATGCAAACATATCGATGTCCACATACTCCTGAATCCTGATGCATGAAAAGAAAATGACTTATTATACTCATGGACACCTAATTACTTCAAAAGCCTGTCCTATGATCTGGAAAATGTTTCAAGATATGGATGTCTTTCAAGAATTCCTAGGACAATGAAAATATATTTTATGTTATGATTTTTGAAGCCTCTCTCAAAGAAATTTAGCTATTATCATATGGAAACTGAGTAAAAACAATGCTTCACATAAACGGACTTTCAATTTATTTTCCATGATAAAAAGCTAATTTGGCTCTTCTTGCATTGTTAGGGGTTTTCCCACCAACGGTATGCAGTATGACAATTCTGTACAGGGCGAACAAAAAACGTTAACTAATTTTTAAAATGGCAAAAGATTAGTATCAAATTAAGCTACAGGAAAAAACGCCCAATATGAAATCTTGTTAGATTTCCTTAATGATGTGTAAAATATAATTTAGTTTTTTTCTTGCTTCTCTAGCACTCAATTTGCTACTGAGCTATAGGAATTAACCCTTCTGCAGAAAAGTTGGGATATTTTTGCCAAGTTTTGTCCCCATATGAGCTTAGCAAATTTTAAAAATATGATTTTTGAACCAAGGCCTAAGTGAGGAAAAAGTCCAATATTCAAGTGACTTTTGGTCAAACTGAAATGCCACAACCCCCAAAAAATGCTGCCTTTGCCGTTGGATGGCCAGGAACCCTCTGCTGTCCAAGGTCTAAAACATTGATTCACTTTTTTGGCCCAACCTGTGTATGAGCTTGTTTTTTGCCTTTTGGAAATTTTTCATGTCATAGAGGCAGAATATTTATGCTTTTCTTCTGTACCTTTAAAGTTAAAAAATATTTTATTGCATTTTTAAATTAAATTTTTCTAATAATGTTTCAAACACAAATGCATGAATTACATGCACACAGTCAATTTAAACTTTTGAAGTTGGTGCTAAGATGATGCAAACATTCTGAAAGAAGTCCACAAAGAAACACAGATCAAACATCCTGTGAGAGCCATTTTTGGTATCCTTGTAACATTGTATAGAGGCAGAAATGTTGTTTTTTCTTGTTTTTGTGCACCTTTTCTTGGCAAAAATCAAAACTTTTTTTTCTATGAACTGTTGAATCACCCCAAATTGTGTTGGGCAAGTGAACATTTCCGTTCTCAAAGATAACATTTATTTTTATTTTTAATAACACTGTGGAAGGAATTTTCTTAGCAATATATCAGTTGCTTCGCTTTAAACTGTCCAGACCCTCCGTTTAGAATTCTGAGGTCCTAAAAAAATATAATTCTGGGTGTGTTATTCGATCCTGGTTATGCTCTTCAGCCCTGTCCTGGGTTCCGAGAACCATCAAACGGAGGTGTGTTCGGCTGGGTAAATGTCCGGGGTTCTGGGCCAAGGAAATCCGTAAAAAGGTCACACTGGCCATTTTTAAAATTTTCAGCTATTGTATTTCACTTTGTAACAATATTCCCGGCAAAAAATTCTTAGATTCATCAGAATAGTCGGTGGAACCCACGCGAAAGTACTCGTGCATTATCTTTTCACTCATACAAATTATTTTTGATGCGGAAGGTTTCACTTTTTTCCACATGAATCAAAAATTTGTCTTCCATACATTGTGAAAATTACCATAATACTTATTGAACAGTTCATCTGTTTTAAATTGCTGTACCAATATGTTACATTTTCCTTGTTTCATCAAGTGTCTATAAATCATGAAGAATTATCCAGATTTCGGGGCTGCTTTTATTCTTGAGTTTGAAGCGTTCACGAGTGAAATTCTCAACAAATCTCAGAACAATCCTGTACGTGAAGAAGAGACAGAAAACATTTTGAAAATAATTTCAAAGAATAAGCGAGACAAGCCCACATCTTTGCATGAGCACAAGCCCCTTGAGCTTCATTTGATGAATGTTTGTTCTCATTCTTGGCAGGTATGTTGAACCTTTCCAGTCATCTGCCTTTTTTTTTTTTGACAACACTTTGATCGCAGTCAATACAAATGTACCTTGTTCCCCTGCGAACCGTGAATGTTGAAGCATCTTGATAATTTTTTTTTTTGCAGATTCAACATGTCATTTTGCAGTATAATTTTTTTTAACAAATGGGTGCATAGCATATATCTCAAGCCAACTCTTAGAGGTGATTTAATTTTTATGTTCCAACAGCTGGGCCTAATACTTGAAAAATTATCTCATTATTGTTAGTTCCTGGAAAATTTTTAGTTTAGAAGCCTTTTCAAACTTTATGTGCAGATGGTACCTCCAGATTTGACCCTAATCTGTTGCCAAACTATATATGGTCAAATTTCGAAGCAGTCAAATTACAAAACTTTTTTAAAATTCAAAAATATCACTACAAAAAGGCAAAAAAAGTGGCCAAAGCAGGTCAAATTGTGGGGCAAGGGTCAAATTGCAAGTCAACATTGTAGGATAACCCCACAAAGAACGTGATGACGAGATAAACGGAATGAATGAAATTGTAGACTCAAACCGCCGGGGAACATGGCAGGGGAGAATTCAGCAATTCTCCCAAAAGACAAAGAGGATAAATATATTTCGAGAGTAATATTCAACCAACACTTTTTAGACAACCGTTTGCTGCGAGACAATCAGAGAGACTAGACATAAAATGGGGTCAAAGTCAAGGAAGTCAAGGGAAATTACGCAATAGGAAAAACCTACTTTGTGGGTTTTTCCTTAATTTATTATTAATGAATTGAAAGCAGTTTTTGCAAGGATTGCGGCGACAATAACTTTTGCGGGCAGTGCGGGATGACTATATCTTACAAACGTCCCTGTCAATTTGACCATCAAATTGCAGAAGGTTGAATTGCAAGGGACCACCTGCAACAATATTTCTCAATTTTTTCAGTCCTGCAATAAAAGGAAACTCCATCACATTGTATGTTTTTAATAGTTCACCCCTGCTTTCCAAATGAAATCACAATTTTGGCTGATGGGACATTTTGTTTTACAGTAATCTCAAATAAAAAAACATGTGGATGTAAATTAAGCCAACCCTGATGGTCCATTTCAAATTTTATCTTTCACCATATTAAGCAAAGCCTTATGTAAAAAATAATAATATTCGCTCGTCTTCATTTTCTATAAAATTTTCCTTCAGAGGCCTTCAAACTTAATGAAACAAAAAATTGTTTGCGTCCCACGAAAGGAAACTCCATTATTTCGTCTTTCTAGTTCACCCCTTTTCCAAATGAAGTCACGTGCGTGACTTTGAGCCAGAAAAAAAGTGTATAAAACTTTTTGACAGCAATAAGCAGCTGTGTCGTGGTGCTGACGGGCCTTCCGAGGCATTCTTCATACTTCAAACGACGCCTAATCATATTTACCAACACCCACTTTTGACAAAAGAAAATTCAAAGAAAAGTGAAAAAAAATGCTGGAAAAATGAATCTTCCAAAATATAAGTTTATTTTACGAATAAGTGAAGACTGGCAATATCATCAGCATCAGGTGAAGAAAAAGTAACTCATGCAGGGTTGTCAAATTTTGGCAGAATAGTAATGAACCCATGCAGACTGAATTTCTTCAGAGTATTTTTTCTTTTAAATTCTAGCAGTGGATTTCTACTAAAAAAATGACCCATAGACCAAAAATAAGCATACCAAAATTTTTTTGGAAGAAATTGCGTTCCAGAAAACTCTTTTCTGTTGGTTGAAGACTAAAATCCCAGCAGGGAATGAAAAAACCCTTTGTTTCAGAACACATTTCTTTCATTGTAAGCCTCACTAGGTTTGAATAACTTCTCAACAAGAAATCTCAAGCCATATTTTAAATAAAAATAGGACTTTAGTAC